AATTTTTAATATTTTTTTATTTATTTAAAATAATTAAATAATATTTAATATTTTAAAAATTAACTTAAAAGAATGATTAAATAACTGATTAAAATTATTCTTTTAAATCATTGTTAAAACTATTTAAATACGATCTAATTAACTTTTTTTTTTCCGCTAAAAAAATAGAAAAGATCTTAAAAATTTTAGATAAATGAAAAACGTTAAAAACTAAACAAAAAATGTAAAGGATAAAATTTGTAATTGACAAATCAAACTATTTAGTAATTGACATATTTATAATTAAATTTTTCTATATGGAAATCAGTCAAATGAAATTATAGATCTGTAAAATAATGGTTAAACATATTTTTCCGTGTTTTTAAAAATATTATATACCATAAAAGTGTAGCGGGACAAATAAACGAACAAAAATTTGTGAAATTATGCAAAATATTTGAAGATGCTGAGCACATGGCAACTTAGTATTACTCTTTAACATTCCCCATTCATCTCCTGGGCAATTAAATGCAGGATACAGACAAGATAATTAATCACTGAACAGCAAAAAGAGATGTATCTAGATCATGCCTCGAATCATTAAAAAAAAAAAAAAGCCATCCACCATTTTTTATGACACATTCAAAGAGATCTAGATTGGAATATGGTCCAAAAGCTTCCTCTATCTCAAAACACAAACATGTCCAAGCACCTTCGCCACATGGGTGACCTCCACCTTGGTTATTTCTCAAAGGAGTTTGAATTTGGATCGCCAAAAAGTGGTGTTTGTACAACATGAGATCCAATCAGATACTCTGATGACCTTGCTTTTCATGATGTTTTCTCAAGAATAATGCACCAGTTTGATTTATCATAAAACCGATCAACAACCACTGCACTCTCCATTCCGGAAACTAACCTGCACAAAATTATAAAACATGTACTCATAGTATAAAACAGGGGGGATTGTGAAAATTCTGCAATCATCAAAACAGAGATATAGTGCAGAAGCGAAAAACATAATTTATTCTGAAAATTGCTTCATCTATGTATAATTTATGAACCAAAAGTAGATGTCCTATTTAAAATCACGGAGCATCCACAAAATAATGAAAGCTCTACTCCTAGTTTCACAAATTTAAACAACTTTTGTATACATAGGAAATGTGTATATTAGCTCGTAGGCCAAACTCACATAAAATTTGGCCTCCGGTCATTCTTAGACTGCCTTTAGGTGGGAAATGAGCACAAAAATGTTTCCTTTCATTTTCAGCTGAGACCCATATTATGCAACAAAATGCTGGAAATTATTACAAAGACTAAGTTTGCAGGATGCAATTTGGTCTGTAACGAGGGGAGAAGTGAGAGCAGGTTGTACAGGCACTACCTAACTCTAAACATAACTCATTAGTCTAAAAACAATGCCTCACTGTTATAGACATCCTCACTTAACTTTTATCTTTCCCATCTCTGCATGCAAAAAGCACTTCTTTTTCGCATTCTGCCTAGATGGTTCCCACCTCAAGTTATTTACTTGACATGAACGATCTTAAGCTAACACATTGTTCCAGATACTATGACAATACATGATAAAAGTATTCACCAGATAACAAAAATAATCCCAAATACTGAATTACCAATTCAAGATAATAATTGAAAAGAATCGAAGATATGTAAAATAAAATCAACAGTATTGATTATTTGCATCAGAAAATAGATACCTTTCAAGTTCACCTTCACTAAACACATGATAATATCTGTTGTACACTACAGCACTCTTTTTGTCATCTTTCTTTGCCAGACCATTCGCAAGAGCACAAGCAGAAGCACCGCTAACTTCAGCACGGTGATAAGGTAAATGCCAAGGAACAAAATATTCTTGATTCTCAACAGTCCATTTATCTCTACAAGCAGATGTATCACCTTGACATTGAGGAGATATGCACACAGCTTCTTGCAACTTCTCAGTAATATTTCCCTGGGAATCCTTTTTGGGCTCTCCTACACCATTTTCCTCGGTCTCTGGGATACTTTCTAGGGTAAAAGATGGAGTGCTACGAACACGGGGACTACCTGGTCCTATCCATTCTTCCACATATTTTTCGGTTAGTGGAGTCCATTTAGTAACCAATGTTTTATCCTCCTGTTCTACAGCCCAAACTGTTATTAGAACTAAGCCACCCTTTTTTACTACCCGCACTAATTCTTCAATTGCTTTCTTTCTCCTATTCTCTGTACTTAAGTGATGTAGCACTGCTATAGAAATTGCTGCATCGCCAAAACCAGTTCTGTAAGGAAGATTTACAGCATCTGCAACCAAAACTTCATGCCCTCTATCAGCACAAATTTTGATAAGAGGAGCACTTATATCACATCCTATAAAATGACAATCTCGATTTAATCCCAAATATTTCCCATTTCCGCACCCTGCATCCAATACAATAGAACCAGAAGGCAACGATCTCAGAAAAGTGGCAACTTTAGGCCACTTCGCAAAGCGGGTGGAGCTGAAATGGGGAGCAATAGCATCATAGACACGATGGACATACTTCTTTTCTATTTCAGGCGTGCAATTCACACTTGCAGACATGCAATTCTGGTCCTCACTTGTTGATACTGAATGCTGAGCATGGCATTCTCCATCAACTATAGTACACAAACTAGAAGCATCCTTTACTTCGACTTCTATCATATTACCAAAAGTTAATGAACCAAAACCACAATGAACGCCCTCTAAGTGCAGACTTTGAGCTTTCCAAAAACGATAGTAACGTCTGTTAGTTCTTAGAATGCCAAGAACCATCAAATTGAAGAAGAAAACCTAACCAAGCATAGTTCTGCAGAAGAAAAAGATTGGCAAGGTAAAAACTAACAGCTTAAGATTGAAGTTAAGAGAAAATCTTAGGATCTATCAGATTCAAAAAATGTTTTAATTTAACAAATAGCTGCTATTATATGGCTTTTTCTTGCTTCAGGTATGCATCATTTGCCAATGAGTTTATCCACCATATAGTAGACCAAGTCTGGAGAAAGCAAAAGCATCAGAAGATGTACATGCCATTATATTCTAATATCTATATGACCAACTACTCCAAAAAAATAAGAGGGAGAAGTTGTGCATAGAGTTTTTGCACATGTGCATATGTCGTCCACTTAATCCCTTAATCCAGTGAAATTAAAACTATTATCTTCATGTCTTTCATGTCTTCTGTATTCAGGTTTGTGTCAATTCTCATAAATTTTCCAGCTTCAGTCAAATTCGATGCAATTGTTTGTTACTTCTTTTCCCTTTTCTGGAAAGGAAAAAAAGAACAACAAATTGATTAACAGGGAACCATGGGGTGCCACCACATCCATATAAAAAAATTTCAAAGAGTCCACAACCACCATGCCAGGAAGTCTACAAAATCAGCCTCCCCAATATGGGTAAGTCTATGTAGTCTATATAAGATTTGGGGCCTTAGTTCCTACATCAAAAGTCCCTAAAATTTTTAAAAGGGATTATAGAATCTTCAAAAGCCCATCACCTCCACTTTTCCAGACTTCCGGTTCTTACCCAAAATTAATTTTTGAGAATAGAAAATCAATAGTCCACATGGCATAAAGGAGTGGAGGGGAGATGTAACGTCATGTGGTAATATCAAAACCCAATTCGACCTACAGATAGAGCAAATGACCAAATAGTTTAAGACTACCTATCAATTTTTATCCTTTAGCAAAAAGAAAAACTATCAACATCAATACAACAAAAGCTGGTTCAAATGATTGAAAGAAATGGTCTATCGGGAACAAGAAGCACCTCAAATATAGAAAACAAAATGAAAATTACAAGTCTCCATCTGAAAACTTTCATTTGATGGCACTACATAGGTTCTAATCGCATAATTATAATTCATTTGTTAACTGAACTTGTAACTTTGCTGAAATTGCACTTGGATTCTTTTTTTGTCTTATGATTGAAAATATCCTTAAAAAGAAAAAAAAAATCGAAGTCCAAAAATTTGCACTTGGATTTCCCCTTGTATTCTCTGGAGCCAAACAAAGATTTTTCGGGCACTAAAGAGTACCTAGTAAGATCAACTTTTCCACGAAGAAAAAAAGTACCTATTTCATCTCCTCAGTCAAAATGCTAATCAAAACTATAACTAGGAAAATAGCAATATATTTCATATTTCAAGTAACAAAGTCATGTTTTACAGCTTTGATAAAATCAAATCACAATCCTTCAAAATCGGCAAATGGTATATCTAAAAACATACATAAATATGTATGTATTACTTGTGTGTGTGAGTGTGTGTATGCATAAAGGAAAGAGAGACAGAACAAAAATGCTCACCTTCTTCCCGATAGAAGTATGGCGTTCCAATTACCAACAGTTATTATCAAATTAGGGTTTATAGAATCGAAGCTGCACAGGGTTAAACCACACCGTACAATAAATGAGAGCCAGAAAACCCGATTGGACAGAAAAAACTAACAAACAGCAGAGCTCCAAATTCCACCTTCCAAACAAGTCATCTAGATCAAAGCTCACTTGCAGAAATGAATCGAACCTTGCACAGATTAAAGCTCCAAACTTGAGGCGCTGTCTTGAAGTTAGGTGAGAACAGAAAATAAAATAAATGGGGAGGGGGAAAGCAATAATTTATTTGAGCCTCGTTTTTTTAAAAAGAAAAAAAATCGCTAGTGTTTTAACGAGTTAGAATTACTCAAACTAAAAATTTAATGTTTATAACATATTTTTTTATTAAAAAATATAATAAGTTTATAAATCTTAATTCAGATTTATCATAATTTTAATAATATGTAAATAAATAAAATAATTAATTTTATTAAATTAAATATTATAATTTAACAACTGTCATCTCATTATAAACTTAATTAATAAAATATTTTTATCTTTTATTTAATTTGAGCAAATAAACACAAAATAATACCTTATTTTAAGCTATAAACACTTAATTTTTCTTAATTAAGCATCTAAATATTTTAATTTAATTAATTAAATTTTTAGAATTTTTTATTACATATTAAATATTTTTATTTAATAATTTTATTTACTAATCTTATTAGATCTTATATGATAGTATAAGATTAATATACCCTATTATTTTGATATTTTTATTTTATTAATAAGATTTTAATTTATTTTTAACTAAATTGAACTCGGGCCATGACAACGAAGGCTCATAATAGACCAAGTTAAACAAATTGATTAGGTTATTTCCTAACTAACTTGTTATAGGGTTTGGGTTAGATTTAGTTAGTCTTGTGGATTGCCTTAACCTATTGAGTTAGAATTGTGCAAGCTAATGAACAATCGAAATATTTCTAAGACATATTTTGTAACGACTCCAGAAATTCAAAAGAAAATACACATAATAATCTGTAACATATCACATATCATACTTTTATATTCAAATCATCAAACAACAATTGCCTTTTTTTATTAGTTTACTAGTATCCATGGAGATTCATAGGAGTCCCCACTACACATGAACTATTCTCCTTAACAAACTTAATTCTAGGGTCGTCCCCATACCCCATCCGGTATGAGGGTGAAGCGGGTCGTCCCCATACTCCGTCCGGTATTGGCGCCACATGACCAAGTCTCCATACCCCGTCCAGTATGAGACAACATTCACGGTAGGGTTCCCTATGAAACCGGTCCGTCCACCATCTCCCAAGATATCTAGTAAGGCTGTAATCTTATTAATTTATCAAATCTTATCCCATTCCTATTTGTCTTCAGTCTTTGTTACCAACTCAAACACGAATGCATACACAAATAACGTGCATCCAACAAAGCAAGCATATCTTAAATTTCCAAAATCAAACAGTAGTGAAGTAAGCAGTGATACATGCATTCAAAACTATAGAATAAATAAACTAGATACCATAGTGCATTTAAACTGTAAAATGAATCAAACAAGAATTAACAGAGAAATATGTCCGGTTCGGGCTCCATTAGCAACCGTAATTAATTATGCATATCTATTTAATTTGTACAAAATACAGTATTATCATTTATTCAAACTTCAATTCCATGATAGGAGATAGGGTGAAGGGCCCTTACTTGATTTGACATCGAAAACTAGATTCTCACTACACCTACGGGTGGTCTCTGGATTCCTTGAATTTTTTCTTCGGGAACAAAAACGCACTTACAGTACCTACACATGTCCCAAATAACCCAAAAATCATACCTAAGGCCTACTCGGCCAATTTTGAAATTCCGACACGGCAGCTCCGCCGTGCTCCGGCGACGAGCGGCGGCGATCCACCTCAGGTTGGCTGTTTTCGGCCGTTTCCGGCCGAAGTCAGCCAAACTTGCATCGGTTCCTGTGAGAAAACACACTTAGGGCCCTCGGTGGGCCGAAAAAATATAGAAAACTGAAACTTACTGGCGGTGGGGCTCTCCGGTGTGGCGTCTCCTCCGGCTCACGTCGCGGTTGGGTGTTTTGCTCTAGTTAACCTATAGAGGAGGAAACGGTGATCACAACGGTGGAAAAATCACATCGAACAGGAATCAGAAAAGGCCTCATCATATGCAAAAATCGAGACACCCTGCGGCGGCACCGCTGGGCTTCGGCAGTGTTTTCCGACCAATTGGCAGGTGTTTTCGCTCTAATTTGGCCATAAGTGGGTTTAGAATCAAATTCTGAGCAAAGGGGAGAATTGTTTACCTCATTTGGAGGCCGGAAATTTTTTTGATACGGCGACGGGTGGCAACGGTCAGCTCCCCGGTAGCTGTGCTGTCTTCTCCGATGAGGGGCTCAGGCGGCTAGGGTTAGGTTATTTATA